CCACTCTCAGCCACTCTCACTATTTCTTGCCGACGATTTCTTGCTCTTGGCTTTCTTCCCAGTCCCCCCTGACCTGGTCGCTTTGCGAACGGGCTCAAGCGAGGGGATAGAGCTATGGAATGAATTCAAGAAAATTTGTTTGAAGCGCTTGTTGGGTCCTGTCCATGGGAGTCGCATGGAGGCCAAGGCCGCCAGGCCATCGTTCACGTAGGTTCTTGCAGTCCTGGCATTCTGCCAGCGTCCATAGACCAGGAGTCTATCCATGGTTCCCCATTTCTTAAACCAATATGTGGCCCCACCTCTCCGAAGAGAGTAAGGCCGAAACTGGAAAGAGGAAAACCCTAAAGCCTCCAGAGTGGTGTTAAACAGCTTGCGCCATTGCGCAGGCTTGGGACAGAGGGGGGTCCTCGCACTAGCTTGGTGGGCCCACTGGTGCAACCAACGAATTACTTGCTCGGACGTCACCGTTACACTCTCTGCTGCTCCTTGACGCTGGCCTCCTTTGGTAAGGCCGAGGGAAATCACGGCCGGTCCCCGCTCAGTATCAACAGCGACATGGCTTGCCTTAAGCTCAAGGATCTCTCCCGTACGCAGGACTCCATAGAATCCCACAAGGAGAGATAGGGCGAAGTAGTGCTCGCTCTTGAACATGGCGTATCCAACCATAGCGTGTAAAGCTTCCTCTGGCAGGGGCGGGGCACGGCTTGGGATTTCGTTTTGGTTCCAAACTTTAAGAAGCCTCCATGTAGCAGGCAATCGTTTGCGCACGTCTGGCTGTGCGTCCTGAATTGCCGCAACAGTATCAGAAGCGAGTGCCCGTCCAAATCCCTCAGCCCATAAATGTTCCAGGTACATGCAAAGCAGCCGATCTAGTGGACCTGCACTATCAGGCACGGCGATGCCTTCCGTCCGGAGGAAAGACCAGAACTGCTCCAGTGCTTTGTTGTAGCGCTGCCTTGTACGACTTTGCACGGTGAGTGACTGCAATGTTCCCAACTGAGCCCTTCTACGCTTACGTTCCTCCTGTGAGCATCCTTCAACGTATAGCCTTCCTACTTTACCCATTTCTTGCGCACTGGACGCCTGCTAGGGGCGTCCGCAGGGTTCTGGTCCGTATGGACATACGTCCACACGCCGTGGGATCCAGATGCCAACAGAAGGGAATCGATGCGTAGTAGGGTTCGACGAAGTTTGCGGCTGCTGGAGCGTCCCCGCGCCAGAGCGTGCAAGCATACCTGGGAATCGACTAGATGAAGAAAGCGAGTGCGCAGCCAGCCTTTCTTCGAAAATCGCCACCTCAATGCAGTCAACACAGCCCGCATTTCAAGCACATTGATGTGCTCGGCGGGCCCTTGCCAGCGCCACCCGCAGATGACCCGCCACTTCCAGAGTTTTGCGGGGATACTCATCCGCAGTCGATGGTATCGCTGTACATCCTCAGACTGGGCCTGGAGGAGAAGATCCTCTCCCTTGCCACTGACCAGTCCGGTGAGCTTCCGCGCCAATCGGTCTTCATGACGGTGTACAGGATGTTGTGGGTGACGCATGAAGGGACGAAGCAAAAACCCCTGCAACCTTGCGCCGCCTCCTGGACAACAATGCTTCATCAGGTCCTCCACACTGAGGTCGGGACACAGCCCTCGTGGAACCCCCAGACAGGACAGCAACCATGCGATGACGAAGACACACCATGAATTGCCCAGCAGGCTCAAGCGTTCGTCCCGCCACTTCTCTCCCTGACGGTTTGCTTTTGCCAGGCAGTTATAAGTGTACCCACGCGGAAACCACATCATCACCTCCCGCTCCTCCACACTAGGAATTCTCAACATCCCCTGTTTGTTGGTCAGGCAGAACTTGGAGCGGTATTGGTAAGGGGGGAACCGATGGCAATCAGCTACCCATCGACTAAGCTCCTCAGCGCTACACTGGTGAATACCTGCGGGTTTACGACCGGGATCACTGCGTGGCCGACTGGTGGTGAAGGTCGGAAATGCCTCCTTGCTGTTCTTCCTCCATCCCACCTCCAGGAACTGGTCTACGTCCACGTCAGCGACAAGCTCAACTGTAGTGACTTGTCCCCATCCATTGCCAGTGGCCGAGGAGAACGTGGCACCCTGGCTCTCACGAATCTCCCATGACGGCCAATAGAGACGAGGTCGGCGACATCCCGTCACCCCCGACGAATCGATGTGGAAGGGCACGCATCCTGCAGACTGGCTCATGAGTTCCCTGTCGCATTGGTCCATTGAGGCCACCGATTCCATAAGACGGTGCACCTGCGCCCAAGGAAATTGGTCTCGCGAAGTGCTCCACGCCTGTCGGCGTTCAACCCGGACACGCCTTGGCACGGCGGCCCGGCCCCCAGGATAACCACTGACACCTGACTGAACTGGCACGCCCAACGCTTGACCATGTCCGCGTCAACCTCCTCGACACGCTTGACAAACAACGTCCCCGGAAACCGGCTTTCAACCACCCGGTTAGCTGGCTCATGACACTCAACAGACACATGTCCTACCACCGACATTCCAACGGCATCTGCTGCAACGCGCAGACCGCCGATGCCATCAAAAAGCCCGACTGTGAGGACGGTCGGCACATCATCCACCTCAACAATGTCGCCCCGAGTGGGCATGTTTGCTGCTATTGCACCTAGCTGCGACAACCCAGAAGTTGCGGTGACTCCCCCTCCAAAAGTGGAAGCGTCCGAAGCGGTAACCGTGCTGGAGAGCGCCAAGCGGAAGTCCATGCGAGCCAATGGAACCAAAAGGCAGAAACGACACAACTCAACCTGTACCTCCCGAGGCAGGACCTGCACAAATGGTCCTTCTTCAAAGCTTTGGATGAACCTCCATACTGAGTTCAGTGCTCCCAACAAAGGTCGCCTGAAGGTTGCAAAGTAAACGAACCCTCCTGCTACGACTTGGACTTGACGCTGGGTGGCCCGGCCCTTTTCCAGCAACAGGTGACACAAGTGGAGATACTTTGAAACCTTCTCCGCCTTTGGCGCAGCGGATCCCCTCCAACCATCAACCTCAGCTCCTTGAACCTCAGCCTTCGTAGACCTAACCACTGCTTTTTTGGGGTGTCGTGGGACCTGTAGCTGACCATAGGCCTCCCTCAATGCTTCAACAAGCGGTGGTGTCTCCCCTCGGATGCGGTCGGCTGTCCGGGAGTCCACCTTTTCCAACATGTCAAAGTTGTCCAGGTAAACACGGAAAGAGGGGTTGCTCCAGGAAAAGCTTCGGTCCTTACGATGTTCTGCCTCCCAGCCAGTCCTACTCCCACGAGACACGCACTCACGGACCGCCTCTCCAACGATGGTACGGTGCACGTGCTGGGCAAGTGACACGGAGTTGCAGAAACCCATAGGCAAGACCCTGCTACACAGAAAGTAGTTTTGCTCCTGATCAGGGCATAGGTGTGGGGGAACAACCTTTGCGAACGCCAGGAAGCGGTACCACTCTGAGGGCACGGCGAATATGTAAAAGAAACACCGCACATCTTCAGAGCTCACCATCAGGGTCTCGTCCGGGCCTAGTGCAAAGGGGTGCATCGAAGGCCAGGCGGGAAGTGTGCTGATGTCCCCAGACATTGGTCGACAAATACGGTTGAGAGGTATCAGATTCATAATAAGGCGATGAACCGGGGTGCCCTGGGCGTCCTCGTCCTTGGGAACTCCAAAAAGGCCGTTCAGCAACAACTTGCCCTGCACTCGGAAAACCGCGTCCTCCCCGATCAGACCACAAACCCCCTTCTCAAGCAACCCCTTGCACATTCGCTCCCACTGCGAGTCTTCCACCATGACCCGAGGAGCACGAGTATGAACCTGGTCGGACTCTGGCAACAGGTAGTCCCCAAAATTCATCACATAATGATGAGATCCCTTTGAAACAACCGTCTCAAGTGGGACTCTCCCAATCTCGTCAGGGAGAGCACTCTTGACGTTTTCCCAGCTGGTGGTCTGTGCCAAACGCACTTCATCTCCTTTGTAATCAATAGTTTTGACCCTCAAGTACTCACTCCAGCTGAGACTTTTCAACTCAGGAACCCGATCCAAAAAATCTTGCGCTTCTTGAAGTAAAAACATGCAAACCTCAACATGACCTTTTGTGATACGTAGTGAAACTGAAGGTGCAGCACCGTAGAGATGATTCAAGGCCTTCATAAGGCCCCAACAAACCTTCCGCACCTGGTCGTTGACATTCAAAAGGACAGGGTGTTCCAAAAGGTCGTCAGAGGGAAGTGGAAGAATCTCCCCCGTGGACTGGGCCTTGCTTAGCACAAAACATGACAACCCTTCGACCCACCCATCGACGAACGAGTCAACGCGGCGCGCTCCCATCCCCATATCTCTTTTTTCATCCTTCTCGGACGGTGCAAGGTTTCGGCCACCCAGGTCGGCACCCCCGGGATTTGCCGCTGTACGAAAGCGTCCTCCATAGGACTCCACACCAGATTCATAGTTCCTCATCTGGCGGTTGGGCTCACCATCAACAGGGCATAGTTCGGCATCCTCTCCATTCAAAGCTTCATCCATCAGTCTCCAGAGCTCCTCAGAGATTTCATCATCATCCATTGAAGCGCAGGCAGTCTTCATTTGTCGGACTTCTCCCCCTTTGGGCGATCGCGATCTCCCTTGCCACCTTTGTTCTTCCCCTTGTCTCCTCCTTTCTTGCCTTCTCCTTTCTTGCCATCCCCCTTTGCTCCCCTCCAAGGAGTCTGGTTTGAATCCCAGCCTCCCTTCTGGAGTGTCCTGCTTCGGATCTCCTCCTTGGTCTCCCTGGCTGCGGCGGCTGCCTCCGAGGTCGATGCAAGCTGTCCCAAGTCGGGCGGGCACAGCTCGTACCGCTGGGCTACTACCCACGATGCACCGTTGCTGATGGCCTCTAGGGCCTTCACACGCTGAATCGCTACGTCGGCTGCGAATGCCACTCTCCCCTCCAGCAATGCATCGATCACTGTGGCCAGGTTCATCACCTCGCGACTCATAATGGGAGAAAGCTTCTCCCGCAGGATCTGGCGATAAAACTGTAATGCCACTGGCTGAATAGGGCTGTTCTCCTCGATGTCCTGGCCCATGGTGGTCAGCATCTGGCGCCTCATCTGTCGCACAGCGTGAGCCGTCAGTGAACCTGGCCCCGCCTTGGCGGCTAGTTGAGTCCGCTGGGACTCTTGGAAGAGGGTCTCCATCTCCTCGGCGTCGTCTTCTTTCGATGCCGTTGCACTGTCCTCCTCTGAGCTCCCTTTTGCTTTCTTTCTCAGGGCCTTTCGAGCTAACTTTGCCACTTTCTTTCGGATCTTCACGTCCTTGTCGAGCCCCGTCGTCTCGAAGAGCCGCTGATAGTCCTTCTTTGCGATCACTTTGAACGGCTTCTTTTTCTTCTTCTTCTTCTTTCGCTTCTTCTTTGAACTCGTACTCGATGAAGACCCCTTCTCCTCCTTGCCAGGGGGTTGCGAGGGAGTGTACTCCTCCGCCTCCCGTACGCGTTTCCCGGCTTCTCTCGCCTCCTTGTCTGACTCCTTGGCCAGCCGCTTCAGCTCCTCCAAACCCTCTGAACTCCTCATATTCGAAGCCCAGGCGGGATCGTGGTCTCCTCTCCTCTGGGCATACTTGAGGTGGATCAAACCATCTGCTTCCGGTGTATTCGAACAGCTGGACGGGCAAACGTGAAGCCTCACCTTGCCCTTCACCTCCTCCTTCGATCCCCACCGTAAGAGGGCCTCGTCTTCCGTCCCGGAAACTCGGCCTTCCAGCTCCAGGGCGCCTCTCACGAACTTGATCTCCTGGATGTCCACAGCCAGCCGGATCTCTCGACCCCAGTATACTCCTCGGCATAGGATCGAAAGCCCGGGCGTCCACTCCCCTAGTGGGATGTCCTTCACCTCGATCTCACCACCGTCTGCAAAGCCGGGCCGCTCCTCAGGGGCAATGGCAGGTCTCCTCAACCCTCCAACCAACTCCTCACGCGTCTCCCGTCCGCCGCTGGCCTAGCCAGTGGGCGAGGAGGCATCAACGGTGCTTCCGCTCCTTGTCCTTGAGAAACTTCTTCACCTCAAGGAACTGCTTAAAGTCCAACTGCCTTTCTGTCTTCTTGACTCCCTTGTTGGTCCCCTGGCGGTCACGATCTGCAGGGGGTGGTTGAGGCCTCCTCAACAAGGGGTTGTTCGGCCGAATGGTCACTGGACCTTTCCAATGAGGCGGTGGCCTAGGCGGTGTCCTGGGCCTCAGCGGTGAACTCGGCCTCGGGGGAGATGGGCGACTTGCTGCCGCCCTGGGCGTGGATGACCTCTTTTCTTCCGACTTGGACTCACGGCGTCTTCGCCTTCTGCGCTTCTTCTTCTTCTCTTCCTCTGACCTGACTTCCTCCGCTTCTTCCGGGTGAGGAGATGCAGATGCGACCTCCCTCACACCCGGCGTAGTGTCCTCAACCTCGGTTGCTTCCTCCTCTCTCTTGACTCTGGTCTCTGGCTCCTCTGATGGTTCTTGTGGATCGCGAGGGGCTGCTGACTTGGACTTGGCTGACAGACTCCTTCTTGCCTCCGCCGGTGGTACTTCTCTCCTGGGATGCAATGGCCTGTCTCTTGCCTCAACCTCCTCTCGTCGCCCTCCACGATCTCGGTCTCGCTCTGATGACCTGCCCCTTGATGCCTCGTTCCTGTTCTCGATGCCCCTGTCAGTCTCGTTCCTCTCGCCCTCTTCTCTTCGTGGTGATGCCCTGCTCGAATTCACCCTGTCGTCACCTGGCCTGGTGTCTCTCTGAGGTTCTCCAACGGGTCGTCCTCCAGGCCGGACAGGTTGTGGTGGAGGAGGGCGTGCCGCACCCTCCCTTGCCACCGGTGGGTTCGCTTCGATGTAGTCTTGAAGCTCACCCAACACGTTGCGAACTCGCAAGGTCGCGTAGCCCACAAACCCAGGCAGCTGCGAGCCGGTGGCCACCACGCGCAGCAGACGTGACACAGCGGGACAGAGTCCACACTGGCACCCCTGCGTGTGGCCCCAGCTGTGCTGCATGAGCTTTGAGCCGAGCTGCGGACAAAACAGAGTCAACCTGAAGACCTCTCCTTTACGAACGGGGCCGTTTGTACATATATCCTGCTTTGGATTTGGTATGATTTGGTAACATCCCAACACTGATTCTCGGATTTAACAGCCATGTATTGTTCGTTGCCCTCCGTGAGACGTGACTTCGCCGCCATTCTCCTCTGAGGTGTTCCAATTCCGCACGATCTGCGGCCCATCTCCGGGCGGCAAATCCATGCCGCGAAGCCAAGCGCTCAGCCGGGCAAAGGTGACCTCCAAGTTTAGCGAAGGGCAAAGGTTCACCAGAGATCCTCATCCAAATTTAGTCTTGCTTTGTTCTTTTTCAGATGCTTTTTGGTGGATTTGCTGGGACATTGTGCCTTACACCTGCGAGCTAAGAGCATCCTCCTAAAACCAACACAAACCTCATCGGTGATCAATATCGTCCGAGACACCAGCATCGGTGACAAGGCCTTCAAGACCGAGGCAGAGCGACCTCACAAAGGGTCGAGTTTAGGAGTTTAGGAACAAGAGGAAGAGAAAGAACGCAATAGCAATGGCCTCCACCTAGTAGCGTTCTTGTTCCTAGTAGTAAGGGCAGGAGCCCCTAGCCCTAGTAGCGTCCTTGCTCCTAGTAGCGATGCCAGGAGCCCCTAGTAGCTTCTTGTTACTAATAGCCTCATAGAATGGCCTCCAACCTGATAGGAATGGCCTCCCCCCAGTAGCAATGGCCTCCACCCTAGGTGACATGGAACACATGGACGTGGATAGCGGTCCTTTTCTACCATCGTTGGCTAAAAGGGCAGGCAGCTTCAACAAGGGCCCATCGTTGGCTTCACGGGCACCCATCGCTTTTCCAGCTTTCAGTGAACTTTCTATATGTCACAACTGACCACTCTGTATTGGTCATTGCTGGCTTTGGCTCACGGACGGCTTAAAAGATCTTTGAACTGTGTGCACAAGATGCTACCTCGTCGTAACATTAACAGCTGGTTGGCCAAGCAAGGCGAGAAATTCCACTACGGTATCCTGGGTGATGTCAAGAGAGGCCGGTTGCCTTGCTCAATGAAATCCAGTGGGTGTGAAATCATGGCAGAACCCAACCACTTGGTATCAGGCCCACAGCATCCACGAAAGCGGCGGTTTTCATATGGTCCTGACGGACGAGGCGGACATCAAGGTGCTTCCCGATGTTTACCAGGCTCGAAGCAAACTGATACATGTGTCCTGCGATCGCTTTAACCAAGCGCAAACATAAATGTTGATATAGTTGATATCAGACCTGAAGTGTACACTAACAGATATGTATATTACAGTTTTTGTGGGGTTCGGAAAGCACTTTCTACAATATGCCACACGACTATCAAACAAATATTTCATATGCACTTGCATGGATACCGGCATCCTGAGAAGGGTCTGCTGCTGCTGCTGCCGCCGTGGCACAGAGTCGAACCCCAACACCCTACGATATCCTAGAGTTTTAGTTTACAAGCAAAAGGTGCCGAGCGTCCTCAAGGCTGATTTTCGCCGACCGTGCTGCCCACATCCACAGCTTCTCTGATCGAGCCATGGCTAGCACCACAGACAGCCGTCTGAAAGGCCCTAATTCTTCGATGAGCCAATGGGTGATTTCTTCGTGAAACTCAGCAGATTTCTTTTGGTTTTTACATGAACAAACATGTCCGTCCACCGGTGAAGGGCCGGGTACCCGGGTACACCTTTTTGTTGGCCTTCATTCATGTTGACAAAACTCCGGCGGAGTCGTTGGCGGAGAATCGAAGAAAACGCATGCAGCGGAGTCAACGCGCTTCAAAACTCAGTTCGATCTTCTGAGGGTTTTAGGGTTTTTGGGTCTTACCTGAAGGAAGCACTGGGATAAACACGGATGATGCGATGAATGATGTTTGGGTGAAACATCTCTGATGTTGATGGACTTTGTGGCAGAATCATGATGCAAGCTGGTCCATTCCCAACACTTCATGACCAGCAACCCTGGAACATGTCAGGGTCGTCTTGGATTAAATCAAACCCCTACGGCTGGTGGAAACAAAATCACCAAGATGACCCAAGCACTTGAAACGTTTAGGCCACTTTGGCGGTGTTCACAACTACTTGGGCTGGCGGCTAGCACCAGTAGATACCTGATTCACATCCATTTATCTGCTTCATTATGTGCTTTGGTGTGACAGAAGTGCAAGCTGGCAGTCATGCTCTGATCTGAGCTGCGGTCAAGACATACATCTTCCAACATCTGAGTGTGCTCCTGAGATCTTACTATATAGAGATACGAGATACGGTTTCCAGTTGTATCCCTTTCTATTTGTGAAGGATGAGAAATGTACTGGTGTTTCAGCAAACAAGGCATGAGACAGTTCAAAGCAAGGACGATCAGTCAGTTAGAGTTTGGAGTTGCGAACATGATTCTGAAGGCTTCAATCTTTGCCAGATACGTGTCTACTCGCAGCGATGGCTGCAAGTTGAATCGTCGCAGTGCATAGTCATGTCCATGCCTCTGTCTTGCCAGCACCACTTTCCCCAGTGATGAGCAAGGCATGCCTGTCAGGCATGCTTGCTGGGAACTCTTGAACTGAACAAATCACCAAAATCATAGTGTGAATCGAACAAAGCTAGAAAAATATGCTAAGGGACAACCCTTTCCGTGCATCACGGCCCACCCCACCGTGGCCTCTCACCTTTCGCAGCCAGTGCTTGACCTACTACAGCATAAAGGTGAGGAGCCTTGAGTCGGCACTGTGAGGGGTCCATCTCTCTGCACCGGAGCATTCGTACACTTCGTCTTTCGGCAACAAGAAGCTACGAACGGAGCAAAGGGCATCGCTACTAGGAGCATTCTTACTACTAGGAACAAGAAGCTAGTTTTTCCTGTGGAGTTCGGTGGCCACAGACAGTCGACACACTTGACAGCAAGACGATGCAGGCGCAACATGCAGAATCTGCCTATTTTTGTGCAATCCGGTCCGGCCTTGGGTGTCTTGACGCCGGCGTAGCGCGCTGCTACCTCCTAGTATCACAGAAAAGAAGGTTGCAAATGACGAGCAAACCAACCTATGAGGTCTTCTGTGGTTCGTCCTTGCCTCATGAGAGTCTTGGAGCTCTGATTCTCTTAGCCACAAAGAATGTTGCTCTTACGCTTGACCTTTGACCCTAGAACCTACTCGGTGCTCAAAGAATGTCTGTGTGACTTGTGAGTCGGAGCGTCACCTGACGATTCAAATGACCTAACATGTCAACAATGGCTGAACACAACATTCATCAACAGCATTTGGCAAGCTCAAATAGAAATCTCCCCCCAAACTCTGCATACTCTTTGTGACACAACGATGTCAGACCTTGACCCTGCCCGCGCCTCATCAAATGCTCCAACATTGGAGTACGGATTCACAGAGACTAGTACGTCACCCAGCCAGGTGTAAATCTGCTGCCTTTCATACCTGGCATCGAGGCTGTAGTTAACAGCCTAGCGGCTAGGTGATGTACATAGACAAAGGAAGTCACAACCCTGCCCACAACCCTGCTGCACCTGGCCCACAGACCATGCAAGAGTTCTGCATCGCTGAAGTCCTGGAAGATCCACGGGGTCCCATTGTTTTGCTGCAAAGTCAGAGGCACTTGCATAATATTTTATAGTTTTTGCAGTAGAAATGCTCTCAGTCCTCAAGGCACAAAAGGTCGGCTGAATCGTAGCTTGCGCTGCCTCACGGCTCCGCACATCAGAAGCCCTCGAGATATCTGTCAAGAGACTGAGCTCTTTTTGAACACATATGGCTGGCGTTCACTCTTACCCATCGGCTTTCACTCTTACCCATCGGCTAAGGTTGAAATGTGTTCCAATCTGAGATGATGACTGTGCAAATATGTCGAATCAGAACCTCACTGCCGCACAGGCGAGGCCAAACGAGGAATGATGAGGAAACAGGCCGTAGAAACAACGCAATCAGGAGTAAACACCTGGGGTCACCACGTCGAATGGCCCGAAATGTCTGAGGTTGTCCTGGTGAAGCAGTCATCTTCGGGTCTCCAGGTGAGTGTTCAATCAAGACAATTGATGTCATATAACGAAAACACCGACCTTTGGCTACATCAAAGTATGTTGACCTTGCACACATCAGAGTTGACATCACATCTCATTACGTTTCACACTTCTTTTCCATGAAACTGTTCAAGAATCTGAGGCGTCAACATCGGTGGTGCTTCGTGAGATGCCAGGACCAAACTACATAGACGTGCTTAAGCCAACTCCCAAGATCCGGCAAACACAAGCCACCAAATCATGCGAGAAGACGTCCCATCAAATCTTCCGGCAGGGCGGACTCCAACTTGCTCAGGCGGCACAGAAGTAGCCTAAAACATCCTAAAACCCTGTTTGAAGTTCTTGACGACACACTATCAATGCATGTAAATGTAAGTAAAGGTGGTGTGTTCCAAACATGTACATCCTTAGCAAAAGCACTCTCTTGCGGGTTTTCCCCTTTCTGCTCAGCATCTGCCTTGCTTTGCAGGCAGATCGAGTCACTTTGGCTTGGAAGTTTGGTCAAGTCAACACATATGGATCCATACAACACCTGTTGGAAGCATGGCGAAACTCTCGAATCGAACAAAAACTTGCAAAAGGTGTTCCTTCCTTGGGCATGTTCAGGCCGATTCCTGCAATGATCCCCTGTCTTTTCCGAAATCACTGTTGATCGACTGCTCCAAGCTTCCAGCTGTTTCATGAGCTCACCTCCAAGCTGGTCAGCTTCGGGGGAGCTCCCTCCGAGGAGCCACCGAATACACGATCTGGGCTCGATCACCCTGGCAATTGTCTTAGCAAACAGGGGAAGCGTCCTTTGCCTGGCAGTCTGTTGAAGTGTCCTGAGAAAATGACAGCTGATTCACTTGGTATTTATTGTAGTAATGACATCCCCTGAACAAACTTGGAAGCAAAACATTCGCAATTCGTAGGGCATTGTATAGAATTGGTTCTTCTTCGTCGCACATCCATCAAGCCCAAAGCTCAGCCATGTCAGAACTCAGCCACCTGGAACTGAACAGCCTTCCAAACCACGATGGGCAGCGGGTGCCCGAAGTTGCCTCAAGCTGACGCACTGACTCCGAGCAAATGGTTGACAGTTACCTCAAAAAGAGCTTGACAGTCCCCCAGGCACTTGGCCCTTTTTGCTGGTGTGTTAGGCTGTGACCAACTCAAGTCACAAGTCCAGTGACTCCAAAGTATAGGAAGGTGTTTGGAGTGAGTAGACCCACCAACAAAATACAGAAATTGAATCATATTGAATCCTGATTCCCCATCTGCCTAGCCCCTACAATGTCATTGGCCATTACGTGCCATAGCCATGGACCACCCATCATCCATGCAGTGTAGGGTCCCATCTCATCCTTGCTGGCGCCGAAGTTCCCCAGGTCATCCAGCTCAACGGAGAGGCTGATGTTCTGCTGCCGGCACTCCCCGCCGGAATGGTAGAACAAACGGCTCAGCTGCCTCGGCGACAAGGCCAACGATCCAATCAGAAGATCCGGGTCTGACGAAAAGAGGCCACCAGGGCCTTTGGGACAATGCCTCCACTTCCGGAATCCTGGGCAAGATTTGTTCATCCCCCAAAAGCACAAACCCAGAAATCAATCTTCGTGCGCAGACGGCGGGATCCACCCACCCACACACACCCACGGTAGCGACCCAAGCCACAGGTTCAAGTTCGCCAAGGTCGAGGTGATGTCCATCTCTGTATCATGGGATCCATCGCCCTTGTGAAAGGTGATGCCCTCGAGGCCTGCGATGGAGCCATTCTGGACACCAAAGACGTAGTCCTGCTACGGACGGTGCTGAGTGACGCTCAGTGGCGTTGGTGGGCCACCGCACGCCCAGGGCGGGTGAGGCCATGTCGGTGGAGACTTCAAGCATTTGTGTTCAGCTAGAAAGAAACAGTCGATTGCGATTGAAGGTCATTTGTCTGCGTTGTGTAATAGTGAGTGCTTGTTTTGACAATGATATAATTACTGAAGTTGCAATGGCAGCGCGGGGAACTTTGCTTAATTGAACAAGGTTAGACTCCTTGTCCTTTGAAATATGATTCTTTTCCCCAGCCATGTCATCCACCTGACCCAGGACCCCATCCATCCTGTGGACCCGCGATGAGGAAGGACATTGTCCCACAGGAGACCTCCAGCTTCAGACGTGCCGAGTGCATCTGCTCCACAAACCAACCCCCGGAGAAGTCCTGGAGGGATCTGGCCAAAAACATGGAGAAACATGGAAGTGTTTGGGAAAGTTCAACTCTCAAATGCAAACTCTTCAATCTTTAATGTTTCTTTCCGTTGAGCTTCGGCCGTCCTCTTCATCCGGATCCGAAAGCCTTACAACTCCGTGGAGCTGGATGTTCCTGCGAGGCCATGAAGTGAAACATAGAATTCCCGCAACCTGCATTATATATGTGCATGTGTGTCAAAAGGGAGCTCGTTTGTAGCCTCCTCCCCGCCCCAGATTCTTGTGAACATGTTTTGAAGTCCAACACATCTTCGGCACACAGATTGCATGGATGGTGAAGATTCTGAGAAGATCATTAACCAGCAGGTGGCCTTGGGGAATATATTATCGCAGAGTCA